CTGCTAAATGTGAAGCATTCCTTTCCCGCTTTTTTTGATGGCTCGTTTTCATGTTTGCCTCTGAGAAACTTTAAAGGACTGCTCCCAGGAGACAAGGAGCAAGCAGAGTCCTATAAGCATGTGGACGGGTGCTTAAAGTCCTCTGAACATGGTATTTTTGGACTACTTTAGAACCTACTTCATTTTTGGCCTTAGAAATATTTAGAGGAGGTGTAGACATGGTTATATTTCGTAGTCTGCTGCCCAGATTTGAGTTTGCTTGCCTTAGTTCCTTCAGATGGTTAAGCACCATATTAAAGCTTTATGCGGTGAATGGCAGCAACAGGATTTTTTCTGCTGTGCCTGGTCATATAACATTTCTAGTAGTGCACAAGCTGAGCTAAGAAATTCTGCCCTTAATGCTGTTTACAGGAGTACAGGAGACTGGGCAGAAAGGAAACCAAGACTGAATGGTGAGGTGCATGTAACGTTAGGGTAGGAGAGAGAAAATGCATACAAATACTCTGAGTAAACAAGCTATTTAAGCATGTAAGACATTTGCACTCTCTTAGTCTAACTCTGGTGTAGTTCTGGAGAAGGTCTGAGCTAAGCAGCGAGAAGTCCTCTTGGGAGACTGGTGAGTGTCTCTCTGCCTGGACTGTACACAGGGTATAGCAGAGCCCTAATGAATAGAGTGAGCAGTGGTAAACTAACAAACTGCTAGTCTAATGCAAATTGCTGCTTCATGGTCCTCTCCATATCTGAGTATGCTGAGGTTTGAGTCAAGATCTTGAGTGTACTTGTTGAGAGAGGTAAGTTAACCATGAAAATACTGTTATTTTTCCATATTAATCAACTTCTTCTTCAGCTGCCACAGCAGAGTAGGTGAAGAACACAGGTGAAGGAATCCATGTGGTGATAACTACTGTAGGATAAACTTCCATGCAGAAGTTTCCCTCTGCATAGGATATGTTCTAAGCCTGAAAATTTGAATGACGGAGGACACTAAGATGAGACAAGCAGTTTCCTGAGCTCCTGAAGAGAGTGAGAGTTTACCTGTGTGTCTAACACGTCGCTCTCATTCGCAATCATGCAGTCTGATGGCTAGAAGCCATTGTAATGGCACAGGGAGTTTTGCTGGAGCTATTCTGAAGTTTGGTTTCATGAGAAATACCCATGCGGTGTTTGCACCCTTTGCCAGAAGTTCATTTACACTCAAGATGGTTTTCGAGCTTGTCTGCCCCTTCTGGAACATGCCTCACCCTGTCCTTGGTTGTCAGTGGCTAAGAAGCCCAGATCAGAAGTAATGACAATAGTCCTACGGTCTCACAGCTCAGTACTGGAGTTCACATGGGTAAAACGGAGTGCAGTGTAACTGATGAGCAAACCCAGGGGCACCACTCTCCATGTGATGAATTGTTTTGTGCCTGCATGGAACATACACCCTACCCCAAAGTTAACACAGTGCTGCATTCAGTTCATACACTGTATCCAGAGAGTCTGCACTGAAATGTCTCTCCATTCACACTGTGCAGGACAAACCCTCTCTTCAGTGTCTCCATTACTAGTCCATTACAGTACAGGTACTCTGCTGTTACTGCCATCTCCTTACACTGTGATTTTGTTTGCAGAACTATGATTTTACTCCTGCTTTTAATGTTACTCTATCACTCACTGACCAACCCGTAAGATTCTCTGATACGTTTGCTAATTGACCTGCTAGTGCTCTTAAGAGTACATTTTGTGCTCTGCTTTGAAAAAGAAGATGTTGACTGTACTCGACATTGAGCGCTTTGGGTTTGCTGAAGTTTTTGAACCATGAAATAGTGTAATTAGTAGATAGTCTGTGGATCCCAGGAGGCGTTAGGTTGCTCTGTGTAAGTTGTTCACACAGAATGCTGCGTGGTTTTTAGCTTCAGTTTTTCAGCAGTCTGCGTTCCAGGGTGGTTGTGAATGGTTTCTCTGCTTTCAAGAATGCATGGCACTTCACCAGGGGTGCTGCCATAGCCTGTGTCTGAATCCAGCAGGTGGTGGAGTTAGTTTCACATGATCTTTCCATTCTGACAGCTGTTAGAAAGGCCTCCACTGGAACCCTGCAGGCAGGGCATTGTCCTATAGGAAGGATGTGGATTATTCACAGAGAAACCAGATGAAAGCAAGAGCAATGGAAGTCTAGATAGTCTGATTTAAAAAGTAGGATTTGTAGTTAGTCTGGATAGAAGAAGGATAAAGAGGGGAACACTTTCAGAAGTAGTCACTGATAACTGTTTTATATATAAATAAAATAAGGCATGTAAAAGCTTGAATTGCAGAAAGGTAGGTTTAGATTAGGTGTCAGACCATCTTTCTAAATAGAGGGGCAAAGCCTGGAAATTCACTGGAACTCCAGTTTCATTGTAAATGCCAAAACCATGTAGGATGTATCTGCAGAAGCCCAGCTGATCCTTCCTTGGAATGTGGATATGGAATGTGTAATTCTTGGGACCTCACCCAGGATAACTTCCCAAACAAAAAAAGAAAAAGCAGCTTTGTTAGACGTGTTTTGTGGATCACGGTGAATTTTGTAAAATGGAAAATGAGCATTCATTACCTAGGGAAAACAGATGACACTGTAATAACTAAAACAAAGCAGATCTCTTATTTTCCCAGGGCTGTGAATAATAAGCACTTTCAAACAACTTCTTTTCTGTTTATTCTGACTCAGCTGTATTTTGTTGACTTTACAAAGTTATGGTTTACCTGTTCTCTTCTCCCAGTGTGTTCACCCTGGGTCATTTTGAGGAACTCTTATTTCATCAGAGAAATGTGAGAACCCTCTTTACCATCCCAAAATAAATTCTTATCTCCAAGGTTTCCACTCCTGGACTCCTCTTTCCCCATTTGAGAAGAATTTTGTTGCAAGGATCTTTTATCTCTGTGTTTTCACCACACTCACCCTTTGTCCTCACAGTTATTGTGCGTGAGGCAAACCTTGGAAAGAGCCTACATTCTCATGCACTGCTTGTATTAGACAAGAAAAGTGAAGAAGAGTCATGCAATGAAAAAACCCATCACTTTAGACATTCATAAAGCTCGAGAGCTTCCTTTTGTGTTCTTTTGTTCTTTGCTGATATTTTCAGATTGGACTGGAAGTCTTAAACAGGAGAATTGTCCTGCCCTGTGAAGTTAGAAGTTGGCTAGGGCAGGAGGTTGTGACCTGAGCAGACATGGTTCAAGCATGCTGAGCCACTTCCTTGAGAGCCTATGTGTAGTTAGAGTTAGTGAAGTCAGTGTCTTGTAAAAAGTGCTGCATGATACATTTTACTTGCAGTGTTCATTCCTGCGGTGTGTCACGGCAGACGGGTGAAAAAGTATCACTGATACACTGAAAACAAATGTGCTGAGAAGCTGCGTTAATGTCTTGCCTGGTGGAGACAGGCCAAGTGCATTCTAAAGGGGCTGTAGCACTCGCCTTGGATGAGCTGCTGGTGCACACAAAGTTAGATGTGACAGTAGCCAGCTGGGATAAAAAATAAGTGGCTATGTATCTCAGAGAGCCAAACCAACGTGGCCTTAGTAGGGAAGCTTGGTGGTGCCGGTGGGTCCCTTCCTGAGCCACTCACAGCTGGCGCAGCATTGAGAAAGGCAGTTGGTAAATAGGTGGCATAGACACTGATGTCCAGGTTTGTCTGGTCTGGAACCAGTCAGGCTTCTTCAGCCTGAACAAACTCGGGCATTTGTGAGAATTGAGTGGTTCTAAGCGCCCTTTTCTCTCCTGCCAGCAGCTGGGATGATGACGATGACCTGGGCCATAATCCTGCTCACCTCAGCGAGGCATGCGCTGAATCCATTTGTATTCTTCATTTGGCCCAGCTGTGAGCTGTATTTCCAAGGCTAACTGCAGATCTTTCCCAAATGCCATGACACATGGAACTTCAGTGCCAGCCAAGTCAGCTGTATGACAAGGCATGCAAAAAAAGCCAGGTGCCATCTCACGGAGACTGCGGGCATTTTCTGATGAAGGTCATCGCTAGGTCTGGGAAGTGTGGGGCTGGAGAAGCATTCGGCTGGACTGCCCTCCTCTGATAAATCTGGAACCCTTTCCACTCTTGGCTTGTGGCTGCTGGTGGAGACTGGAGAGCAGAGATGAGGGGGAGCTTGGGGCTGACACTTTGTAGGAGATTTGTTAAAGCCCCATGGATTTGTCCTGTAATAACTTTTTACAGTGAGTCAAAGGTGAGATAGGGGAAAGGAGATTTGGCAGCAACATCAACACTATGGACACCATAAGATTGGAAGGCAGCTCTCCTGGGCTGATGGCAGACTTGAAGCTGCTCTAGGTAAGAGGTGGCTGTCACTGGAGGTATGGGGCAAATTGATAGGGAGTAAAGTAAAACGGGATTAGTAGGTACTTTGATACAGATGGTGTTTGTGGGGAAGTGGCTTTTATAAAGTGCCCATGCTTGCAGCCACAGGTTCCCTGCAGTGCTGGTAGTGGTGCCATCCTGCTAGAGGCCTGAGTGGCTGTGACTTGGTCTGGCTGAGCCTTGAGAGTCCCCTGCGCCCCCTGTCCCAGTGCTGCAGCACTCATCCCGGGAAGGAGTTTTTCCAGGCGTAGTCTCAGGGTACTTTACAGTGGCCTGGATCCCCGTGAAGATGCGTGCACATCTTGTGGGGTTTCCCAAAAGGCGATTTGCCGAGGTGTTTGGCTCCGCACTGTGAAGGAAGTTGCCATGGGACACAAGGCGGGCTCCTTCAGCGTATCTGAATCGTTAAAAAGCAGGAAAACCCCTTTGGAAGCAAACGCTGCCCTTGCTGCCGCCCTCTGCAGCGCCCACGCTGCCCCGGGGATGGACGGTGCGCGTTTGCCACCCCAGGTGCGGGCGGAGGGTAAGGACCAACCCAACGCCGACCCGGGGCGGGGGCTGAGCCGGGCGCAGCTGTTCTCGGCCGGGAGGGGCGGCGGGGCCGGCCCCGCTGAGTGACGGCCGGGCCGGGGCCGCGGCCGGGGCTGGACCCCCGCCCCCGGCAGCGGCGGAGCCGGCGCGGGCAAGGACGCGCCGCCCGGGCTCAGCTCAGCTCGGCTCGGCTCAGCTCGGCTCGGCTCAGCTCAGCTCGGCTCGGCTCGGCTCGGCTCACAGGTGCGGTAAGCCTGCGGCGGCGTGGTGGGCCCGGCCCGGCGCGACCCATATCTGGGCAGAATGTTTGTCCAGCACCGGGCGGCACCAGCTCGGCACAAATAGCGGCCGCTGCCTCCCTAATTACGCCGGACAGGGGGGACTGCCTGGGTGTTGGGCCTCCCTCCCTCTCTCCCTGCCTGCCTCCTTCCATGCGTGCATGTCCCTCTGCCTCTCCTGCCTGCCTGCCAGCACACTTGCCTGCCTGCCGGGAGCCGTGCCCGGAGTCGGGTGCGCTGCGCCGGGATGCGCAGAGCCGGCGGCGGGAGCTGCGGGAGCTGCGGCAGCCGGAGTCCCCGGGATGAGGGTGGCTGTGCCCCTCGGCAGGGGCAGCCGGGAGCCCGCGGCGGGAGGCGTCGGGCTGGGATGGATGGCAACTGGGAGCGCTCACGCGTGTCCGCGGCAGAACCCGGCGGGGATCGGGGGTGCTGGAGCGGGGAGGGAAGAGAGGGCCCTGCATCACGCTGAGCGGGTTGCAAAGGGCACTGAGTTCTTTCTTACTGCTGTTGCGTTTGTAGTCCTGGGAGCTCTTCTAGGAAATTATTTTCCAGATAATGGATCAATAGAAAGCTGTGCTGCTTTTGTAAGGGAAAAGTAGAAATCAGCAGGAGGAAAGACTCCTTGAGTCCTTGTGGTGTATTTTCCATGGCCAGACTTTGTCCGGCTTCAAATAGCCATGTTTTCCGTGGCTGTACTTCGTCTGCTTTGATTGAAAGGCGCTGCTGATCCCAAAGTTAACATTTCTTCACTCTGATAGACACAGCTTCTCTCCCCACTGATGTGCCATCCTGATGTGCTCATCTATCTGCTTCTGCTTTTGAAATGGTCATGGATGGTTTGTTGGACAGAATCGATTGCCCTCTGCCTCCCTTCTAGGCCAGCTGCTCCACCCTTATGTGGAGGTCCTCTGCTCGTGTTACATCTTTCCGTGGGTATTGGGCCTTGAGCCAGAAGGGTGCTCAGCCACGTGGCTGAGGTTGTTTTTAAGTGTACATAAAATCCCTACTGGCTTCAACCTGGGAAGAAACACAGAAGCAAGGCTGAAGTGGTGCTTCCCCAGAATTCTGCCCCATTCAAGCACTGTGCATTTTAGTAGCTCTCCCAGCTGGAGGGGGTATCTTCATTTCTGCAGGCCTTGGAGGATTGTGTGATGGTCTCACCTCTGTTAAGTGCCTCATTTAGATTTGTTGCACAGTGTACACCACACACTCATTTCTACTGGAAATCTTTTTTTGCTACGGAATTCTCATTTTGCTATGGTATTCATTGGGCATCAACCTATCCAAGGCTTACTGGCTGCACCAACGATGGGACATTTCGCTTCCATTCCCTCTGCTTCAGCCACACTAGCAGTGGGGTGGGATCGGGACATGCAGACACAGGTGCGTTACTGCTAACACACCAGCTTGCTGTGCTTTGTGCCTGGCAGTCTGGCATGGCCATTGTCTATCAAAGGATCCAAGGCACTGCTCAGTGCAAGGCATTACACCCATTGGGTCCCCTGCCAGAGGAACAGGGGTATCCATTTGAGGACTAGCAGAAACTCAGGCAAGAAACCCAGGATCCCTTTTCAGAGGAGATTGTGCTGGCTGCGAAGTTTCCAAGTGAAAGGTTCAAGTTACAGAGCAGGAACTGAGTGCTCGGTGTCAGTAATGACTTAAGTGTGCCCACGCACTTTTCACAGGGATTAGAAATTAGGCAACTAAGCGCATGCCAGGTGCATGAGAGAACCTCTCTCCAAATAGGAGAACACATAACTGTGCTTACAAGCGTGTACCTTTAAAATATGCAAAGTGGGGGAGATTCAGCTGGGATGCTTTGTGCTGGGGCTTTAGCAGGTCTTGGCCTGGTCACCAAACATCCAGGCTATTTGCTGGTGAGAAAGACCTCTTGGTAAGAGCAAGTACTGAGTGGCGTGGCTTGCAAGCTGCAGGAGTGTTGGTAAGAGGAGGGCCAGGAGATACAGACATTTTTTGAATATCAGGTTAGGACCTGGGTGAGCTGAGCGGAAGACCCAGGAGAGGGCAAACAGCATGAGACTTTTCTCAGCACCAGTGGATAAAGGGAGAGGTCACTTTGGTTGAGCACAGGGAGCCTTCCCTAGTGTGTGCATGACGTCAGACAACAAGCTGTTTGCTGTGGAGCTGTCATGTGCAAGGGTGGGAATGGCAGCTCTGGCATGAGGATACCTATTGGAATGATGTGGCATCATTAGTAAGTCTTGTCTATGGCCTATTGAACTTCATTGCTGCAGGTTCTGGGCAGTGAGGATGACTCCAAATCGCGTCATTTGTTCTGCGTGGCTGGCATGTCACTGACAGAGGCAGAAGTTATGGTGTACTTTAATAGATCCAAAATGCCTTCTTCCAGATGTTTCCCTTCAAATATGAATTTCAGGGTGTCAGGTTTACAGCTGCTGGTTGGGAGATTTTTATCAAACCAGAGGATATCTAGACTTTCCTTGGGGAAGTTTGAGTTTCCTGAAGGGACAGCAGATTCCCTGTTGGATTTGCTTAGGCATGAGCTTTTTGCCAGGAGGTTGAGGCCTCAGTCTTTCTAGTTGATAGCTGGCTTGCCTGAAGCAATGAGAGTGTATGATGAGCTGTGCTTTCTGACTCTGATGAGACGGAGCTTCTCACCATCTGGAATACCCCGTCTTTTCTCTGTTCACTCTCCTCACCCAGGGCATGAATGTGCTAGCACTGCCAGCTCTGCCCTGGAAAGACTAAGAGATGAAGATACGCCTGATGGGTATTGCTTGCTGAGCAGGGGCTGGGGACATCAACTGTCTTGTATGCTCTGTTTTATTGAGAACTGTTCCAGATGATGCTTGGCTACTCCACAAGCTGCACAAGGGCTCTCAGTGTGAGAAAGCTGCAAAACAAGGTACTATGATGGTCTCCTGGAGGCTGAGTGACTCACTGTCGTGGTGCAGGAGCAAGGAGAATTTCAGTCGTGTTGGAACTAGTAGTGGTTTAACTGTTTCAGGGGAAAGGCAACTAAACCCTCTTCCCTCTTGTGTTGAACTAGAATCAGAATTCAAACTGATGAGTGCAGAAAACAAGTTGTTGTGAAATGCAGGGGGTCAGCTTTCAGCCCAGTTCCCATCCTGTGTAACCTCCTGGCATTCAGAGGAGGAACCTGGACAGTTGGACATACCTGTGCATTCTTTAGAGACCAAGTCAGAGAAAGTTTGATTGGGAAGGGACCTCTGGAAGTTCCTTGTCCAGTGTTCTCCTCTGAGCAGGCCTAACCCCATAACTAGATCAGTTTCCCCAGGGCCTTGACTAGTTGAGCATTGTATACCCAAGGATGGAGATTCCACCACGTCTCTGATCCCCATCCAAGGGCTGTACCACTTCTCCATCAAGGAGGCTTCCCCTTGCCTCAGCCTATTTCTGTTGCCCCTTCTGTGCACCTCTAAGGAAAGCCTGGTTTTGTCTTTAGAAACCCTTTCCCTTCAGGCAGCGCATGACCGACTGACTGCAATTACATCCCTCTGCAGCATTCCCCTCTCCATGCTGAAAAAGTCCAGTTCCCTTTATTTCTCCTCACAGCTTACATGTTCCAGCCTCCTGCCCGTTCTGATGGCTCTGTATTGGACTCTCTGCAGCTTGGGAAGACCTGTCTTCTACTAGGGGACGTCGAATTGGGCGCAGCATCCAGCTGCAGTCTCAGTGGACCTAAGCAGAGGGGAATACCCACCTATGTGGATTTCCTGGCTAGACATTTTCTAATGCAGCTTGGACTGCAAGTCCAGTGCAGAGTCCATAGGAAGTCTTGTGTAGCTCTAACAAGAGGTTTCAACATCTTGTGCATTCAAGGTGGTGATGCAGAGCCCCAGCAGGCCAAAAACACTTGATGATGCAGCCTGGGTCTGTGTTTATGGCTTGTTAAAAAGATGTTTTCCTCTCTCTCTGAGAAAATGAGATCTGCCTAAAAAAGAATCTACAAAAAAATGTGCAGGAGACCATTCCCTTAAAGGCCTGGCTTTAGATATTTACCTTCCTTTGATTTGTCCAAGCCAAAGACTTGACTCTTAGGGAAAACAATATTCATTTGAAATGGGGTAAACTTCTGAATGCCTGTATCTCAGGTGATCACTTGTAAGGCCACTACTAGGCTCCGGTTATGTCTACCAGAGAAGGGACTGTGGGGTCCAGGTGTGATGTTTGTACTTGTGTGTTAGAAGGAGACCATTCCTGTAGCAGCACAACTGCACTGACATCCCTCATGAGCAGGGTAACTGGTGATAGCAAGAACTCAGTGGTCAAGACTGTGATTGTGTACAGCTGTGTTTTGACACTAGGGATGGATCCAGCTCCTCCTCTGCTCTGCTCTGATCTCCTCCTGGGTTTTGCAAAATTCACATAGATTCATGTTTTTAGGTGTGGTCTCAGTAGAAGCTGATATTCATCTTTTCCTCTCTTGCTACTGGATCTGGCCATAATTTGTTGGTCAGTTCTTGAAACTCCAAGGAACTGGTGATGTTGGGTTGCTCAGTGACTCAAATATCAGGGTGGCTATGGAGTCAGGTTCTTGCACACCAGCACCCAGTTGTGCTGGGATGCAAGCTCGGGGTTTGAAAGTTGTCCCATGAGCAGCAGAGTCAGCAGAGACTTTTTTGTCCTTCATCCCTACTGTGTCTGCCCCAGCTCTACCACATGTTACAGCTACCCCTTCTCCAAGTGCTTCTGGTATCCCTTGTTTTCCCTTAGACCTCCCTGAAAATGCCCCAACTCTTCTTCATTCCTTGACTGTCATCCAAAGGAGAACTCCAGGCTGACAGACCCTTTGCACACATGCAGCTTGACAATAAATTAGGGTTTGGGTCCTGCATGAGATTTCATTGAGGGTTAGCTAATGGCTTTAAGGTTTCCCAGAGGACTGATAGACCACATGAAAACACAGTTTTCATTTAGGAACCAGCTGGAGGTGATTTGCTCCTCTCATCTGCACAGCGTGAGTCTTGGATCTACACCTGGGTGATTCATTGAGGTCTAAGTGTATGCACAGAAAGTACTTAATTTCTGTTGAGTTTATAGGAAATGGTCACTTGAGCTATGTATAGTTCCTCAAAAAACCCCAAAACAAAACAAAAAACCCAACAAAACTCTGGCATTTGTCTTTAAAGTTATGCTACAAATCAAAGAAAAGAAGAGAAATTGCAGCAAGTGCAGAGGGGTTGGTTGACATTGGTTTGTTATTTTTAAATTGCAGAAATAATAGCTCTGAACTTTGACTCACGTTTATACTTAAGCTATTAAAAAACCCCTCGTAAATCAAAATCCTCTGTGAGTCAAATAGGAATTGTTCTCAAGCCACAAGGTTAATTCCTGCTTCCATTACTGCTTAAAAACAGTTTTTATCCTGAATAGACCTCTGCCTTCAAACTTGGAAGTTTTTCCAATCACCAATATCCAAGTTGGTGACATTTGGCCACCTCTTTATGCCAAAAAACAAAAAACCCCTTGGTCTCTTTTCAAACTTCAGCACACAGGAAAAGTTTTGCAGTAGATTTGAGAGTTGTCTAAGGCAGGGATGTTAGTTTTTTCAGTAGTGGCTCTCTCATGGGCCAGAGTACGCAGGATTCCCATTCTCTGCCTTTTGGTGGTGGTTCAGTAATTATTTCCAGTATTGTACAGGATGCTTTTCATTTTTGCTTGTTTTCAGCATCCGTGTATTTGTTCAGCAGATTTGGACCCTTCAGAGAGAAACTATTCCATCCCCCTCATAATCATAAATGTTGCCTTTGTTTTGTTTTGTTTTCCTATATTCATGACATCTTGCTATCTTGGTAGTCTATGTGAATTTTAATGTTTTGAGGTCTTTAAATTGTAATAGTGTCGGTCCTGTACGGTTTCTGTTCTTTTGTGATGCCTCCTTAGTTGATTGAATGAAAAGTGGTAGGTTTAATGAAAAATAACAAAAAAACAGAGCTACCATTTTATTTGAGCATTGCAAATAGATTTGACGGAGATTTATGGTGAATTATGGTTAACTCTTCCCTAAATGTTTAGCAGTTTGTGGATTTAAAATTTTAATATAACACTGCAGTTGTGCTGGAGGATCTTGTTCATTTGTTTGAGCTCAGTTGGGGGCAGAACTTGTGTTAAGCTGTGCTTGTACCCTAGCACAGGTCAGGGAGAGCTGTTTGTGGCAGTGGTTGATTCAGTACGCTGTGTAAACTAAAACAGTTGTGCTTAGGCAGAATTTACCTGCTTTCTTATTTTTGGCAGTGCAAAGCCCTCTTGCCATTTACAGCAGAACGGCTCTTTTGCTTTTTCTCCCAGCACTCATTAGCAAGATAGGGTAGAAGAGGGCTGGGAGGTAGAGATAAGGAAGAGCCAGCGAACATACTGGTCCTGGAGGCTGTGCTGGAGGACACAATGCTGAACAGCTCATTCAACAGGCAGGGGAGCAGTACAGAATGTCCTGCTGCCACGGGCAGGGCTAGTGCTCCCGTCAAGCAGCGTTCCTGATGGGCTTTCTGCAGGAGCTGTGCGAGGTGCCAGCACCATCCGGCTGCACCAGCAAGACTGTGAGGGCACTGTCCCCTCCCGGCAGCTCTGTTGGGGTAGATGGCAAACGAAATTCTCCCCACGGGGATTTCAGCTGTGTTTCAGCAGGCTCTGCACCTGTCCTGAACCCTCAGGGCCTTTGCTATATGCAGCCCCGGCTTCATATCTCTGCAAGATGCTTTGAAACCTGAAGCGTTTTCCAGAAGTGTTGCCTGTGTGCACTGACATCCGCCGTCTGTCCTGCCTTTCGCCTCTCGGCGCTGACATCTCTGTCCTTCTGGTGCGAGACAACAAGGTCAGCCCCGTGGGGGCTGCACTCTGGTCCCAGATAAGCCATGCTTGCAGACTACCCTGGATTGCTGGGAAGGGACTGCAGCTGCCTCTGGGAGTAGTTGTGCTCACGTAGCCAAGACAGAGATTGCCATGTGCATGGCAGGTGTAGGTATTTTAAGCCATTACAGGAAATTTAGCAGCCTGGGGTGGATTATCCTCTACCTTCCTGCCTGCTCCTAGCTCCAGCTCCTTCCACAGCGAAATGGTCAAAACTAAAAATCACACATGAAATGCAGATTAGCTGTGGTTCATGCACTTCAGTCCAAGGTTGCAGCGGCGCAGCACAACTCCAGATCCAAATCCAGGCTGCTTTTCTAGGATCTCCTGCATCAGTGTTCATGGGTAACTGCAATAAAGGCTCTGCCCTTCTCTATGCCAGCAGGAAGGGCAGTCTTGCAGGGGATGAGCTGCTGGATGTGGCTCCTGGGCTGACTGGTGTGTGGTTGCACAGCTGCTGCATGCCACTCTCACTGCTCAAGGAGCCTTGCACTGACTGCTCTAGGGCATTGGTAAAGCACAGACATGTGGGGGTCCCCACTGCCTCATTTAGCCAAACCCGTGGAGTCCCATCACCTGTGCTTCCTCCTTCACCCTCCTGCTGCCCTGGACTCTGGTGCCCACAGGCTGATGGTCACTGCATGGAGCAAACCAGCCCAATGAAAAGCTGGGTTTCACCCTCTCAGCTCCCAGCTCTGGGAGCTTCAGGGGCTATTTCTCTCATCCAGGAGGCACCATCTCCTGATGCTTCACCTCCTAAGTGGCGAGTGGCAGGAATGCAAGTGATGCAGGAATTGCCATCACACCAGTGGGAAACCAAACGTCTGACCAAATGACAGCTCTAAATTTAAGGGCTTGCTGTTGAGCGAGAATATGTGTGTTGCTGTGCCCTTTTGTGACCAAGCTAAAGATAATTTTCCTGTCTAGAACAGCAACTGTGTTGCAACTTGTATAAGGAAACTCATAAGAGCGTAATCTATCCTGAGAGAACAAGCAAAGCTTGAGAGATGAGACTTGGAGTAGGGCTCTGATGCTCCACTGAGCTGAAAAGAGCCCACTTATAGAAACTTGAAAGATGTTTGACTCCTTGAAAAATGCACAGGTCTTACTGTTATTTTAATGTGAATGTCATTCAAGAGAACAGAAAAACTTTGGGAAAAGTAATTTTAAATTATCTAGAGTTCATTTTTTCTCCACAAAAACTGAGCGAAAAAAATGTAAATGTACAGACAGTACTATGGAACAGAAGGAGACTGTCAGCAAAAGAGCAGAGTTGGATACACTTTTGTGTGTTGTACCGAGTGTGTTTCTGACCCACCTGCACATGTTAAACACAGTGACCTTTGTAGAAGGTCCTCTGCAGTCCTTTTGCTTGCAGAGGTCCGGTTACATGTGTGTGACTGTGTATGGCATTTTGTATTGGGAGATGTGGGCCAAACTTGTGGGTCAGCAGGGATTATCCACGTAGGCCATTCAGCACGTTAGTCACAGTTCTCTTCTTGCAGGGTTGGTTTGGAACGTGCAGTAGCAAACAGGTCATCTGCTTAGCCAGCAGCTGTTCAAATGTGTTGTCTCAGGGAAGGTGGGTCACTAAACAGCACGTTTAACTGGCAGCCTCCTGGACATGTGTGGATAATACTTCCTGATCTCCTTGTGGCTTTAAAACACGGGCAGAAGTTCTGTGCACTGTAGCCTCATGGAGGTTTGCAGGGCTCAGAGGTACTCAGTGGTGCTACAAATCTGTTTTCCCATCTGGTGACAATGCTATCTGGAGTGCCAAGTGCAGGGAGGTGTTACTGGGGGCTCGTAAGGACATGAGACCAGCAGACTTCTGGTTTGTTGACGGTTTCTGGTTTATTGTCCCTCAGGGAAATAAATGCCTAGGACGCTTCATTAACATATAGCATTGCTTGCAGGAAAACATCTCTAGCCAGGGCCCTGTACAAAAGTTCTTCCTCTGTGCTGCCCCATAAGTCCATGAATGGGGCAATGAGCTGCCGGCAGTTGTGCCACTCTCATCACCATGGGCTGTTAAGTGCTTGTAGGATACGGGTGGGGAGCCCTAAGCAATCTGGCCTGTCTTAGAAATCAACTGTACTTTAAGCATAAATCTTCTGCAGCTCTGGGGTGTTCAGTGTTCCCCAGCCAGACAGGCTACAGTGTCATGTTTCACGTGTTCAGTGTTAACGCTTCTTGTTTTCATTTCAGGTTCTAGTTCAGCATAAAAGTGAGATCCACAAGACTCCTCTAAGATGTCCTACAGAAAGGAGCTAGAAAAATACCGAGACCTAGATGAAGACAAGATCCTTGGAGCTCTGACAGAGGAGGAGCTCAGGAAGTTAGAGAATGAACTGGAAGAGCTGGATCCTGATGTAAGTAACTTTTGAACAAGATTCTCTAGGTGATAAATCTCTGTAGTTGGGGGGGAAAGGGCTGCATTAGTAATGTCTATTTCAGTGGGATCCTTTCCAGATCCTTTAGGATTCTTGGTACTCAGTGCAAGAGTGGAAGAGACTGACTGCAGGTGAGCAGAAGAAATTTTTGCCATTGCAAGCACAGTCTAGATGTGTGTCTTTGTTTTTGCTTTCCTGCTCTTTCCCCAGTGTGCGTGCTCAGATGTGACGGGCACTGTGATTTGTAGCACCAGTATGAGCCAGTGCTGGTGCAGGGCAGTAAACCTGCAGAAAACGGATCTCTGTTTCTGATCAGGCCACCTTGGAGGGAATGCTTTATGGATTGTTGTGTTTTGGGGTTTTTGTAACAAACTTCAGATGGTCTGTATTTTCCTCCATTTAGGCAGAAAGCCAAATCCCAGAGTTTTGCAATGTGGGACAATTTATTTTTAGCAGCCTCCCAACATCAGCAGGAGCTACATGTATGCAAACATGGGGTCCGCTGGTGCCAAGCCGGTGAAAGGTTTTTGGAGGCAGCATTGTCCCATGGCCCTAGCAGGGGATGTGCGGAGCCAACTGGCAGGCCTCTGGGTTATGGCAATGTTACATGATGAGTTTGGGCACTGCCAAGTGAGAAATTGTTCCTGTAACATGCAGTTAGTGTTTCTGGAGTAAATGATGAGAGGCGTAGATTGCATCATCAGTATTTTTAATTGCAACATAGGAAAGTATTTAAGAGGTGGTAAGCTAGCTCCCAGGATTAAGTGTCTGGGCTGATGGGCTGCCTCAGTTCCAGCTGCCCCAGCAGACACAGAGGCAGGCAGCATTCTGTGAAAGATGCAGAAGGGTAAAACAATTGCGGACGTCTGTCAGTACAGGTGTACTCTGAGTGCAGAAGTTTAAGCCTGAAGATCGCATGCTTACCTTTCACAGCATGAAGCCTGAGGAAGAAAGCTGTCTCCTATTCCTCCCTGCTTGGGCATTCACACAGTTCTCCTCTGTTGCCCTCCAAGGCTGCCTGGGTCTAATTGCCCCTTGTTAGTAATTTTCCTTCCCAGGCTTGTCACTGAAGCAGATTTAAATTGTAATGAGCTACTTTTATCAGGCGGGCATGGAAAAATCAGTGTGTTGTTCAACATCACCTTGAATGTCTTAAAAAGTAAATGTTGACTTCTATCCAGTAAAGCTTTAAAGAACATGCTTAGTGTCAAATCTGGGAATAGTCTTACTGCATTAAGGCTGTTCTATATTTAAATATAAGCAGGTGTTTACGTGCCGTATGTGTCAGGCACAAAGCAACTTGCCGTGGTGGTTAATGTGACTGAATAACAAGGAAGCAGCTTCAAAACAGGCTGAGGTTCACAGGGGTCTTGTTCTGCAACTGAGCGACCTTCTCTGTGAGACCCTGCCTGCAGTTTTTCAGGGATTGTGAGAGGCAGAAGGGACCACCATGACTCTCTGGTCTGCTCTGTGAGAAACCATGAGATTTCACTGAACTGATTCTTGTTGGGACACATGGGGCATGTGGGCCCTTGAACAGACTCATTAAGGGGGGAGAAGATGGCTGAGAGCCTCCAGAGGAAAGGGTCGGAGCTGCAGTTGCAGAGAACATCTACTTGGCAGCATTTTAAACTGGAGCAGGGAAGGAGCGTCACATGTCTTGGATGATGTGGGAATTAGTGGGGCTGGATGGAGATAACCTTTTACACAAGGAGAAGCAAATTATCCAGCAATGTCGAAGAAAGGCAGTGCAATGAGGGAAGCGGAGAGGGGAGAGTGTTTGATGAATGGGGATCGTGCCCTGCAGGGATAACCTGTGTTTCTCCCCTTCATGTCTAGAACGCATTGCTGCCGGCAGGGCTCCGGCAGCGGGATCAGACGCAAAAGCCACCAACTGGCCCCTTCAAAAGGGAGGAACTCATGGCCCACCTAGAAAAGCAGGCAAAGGACATTAAAGACAGAGAAGACTTGGTTCCTTTCACGGGTGAAAAGAGAGGTATGGTCATCCTTTGCACCATGCTGGGTGCATCACAATGAAGGCACAGTGGGTGCACAGGAGAAGGGTTGTGTCTAACCTCCATTGCTAAAACTTCGTTTTGACACCACTGCTGTCTAACCCCTGATAAACTGGGACGTGCTTAAGAGGTCTCTGTGCCTGCTGATTTGGATACTACCTGATATATTGTTAAGTACTGGACAGAAGGCTGTACCACTGTGCAGCCTCATTCTGTCCCCATGCCACTGCAGCTGTATCAGGCTCTGGAGAAGACATCATCTTTTATCCTTTCATCTTCTGTCTCCTCCTCTGGCCTGTCCTTCTGTGAGCTCTGCATGCTGTGCTCCATGTTGCACTGTTTCCTTTCACACTCCATCCCAACACTCTGAGCTTCTCATCCATCATACAGAAACTCCACAGGTCTCCACAGCTGTGATGAGTCCCAACAGTTCCCTTCTAACCTCCATCACCTCTTGACAACTGCAGCTTTATTTCCCAGTCTCCTGCAGGTCACATGTTTGTGTCTTCCTGCACCATACCCTACAGCAGCTGCTGCACTCCTGCTCTGCATGACCCTGAGGCCTGTGAGCAAGGTTGCCTCTTCTCTTTCCTCTGCTTCTGGCATCTTTTCCTGTTCTCCTCATACATGACCCATTGTGCAAATAACTTCCCTGTTCCCATTAGCACTCTGAATATCATCTGACATGGGACATGGGCCGGTCAGTCCTTGCCTCTGGGTTTGAGAAGCTTCTCAGTGTCTCTCTTCTGCTGTTGTGTCTCCCTCTGTACCATGATCCCTCTGCAGCAGATGCTCTGGTTGGACACTGTTCACATTAATGGTTGCCCTGTGTCAAAAAAAGAAGAGCATGAAAATGTGGGCATATTGAGGAGGTTCTCCAACTGAGGTCTTTCTCAAAGGGGTCTCCTTACAGACTCACATGGCTCTCTTAGGAAGAGCTTGTGTTAAATCTGTTCATTTAATAAATCCTGAGGTGGTATTTTTAGACTAGAAAAAAAAAAGAGGAGAAGAGAAAAAAAGAGTACTCCTTGAGAAAAAGAAATTAAAAGGGTAAATTGAGTGCAATCAGGAAGACTGATTTGGTAATTTCAGACATGCCTTAGCCCAGCAGGTAGAAGCAGTGCTCTGCAGGGGACAGAGGTATTTCAGGTATCTCGAGTCTTCAGCTTCTGGTCTGAACTCCTCATACTTCAGCCTGATGTGATCTCAAATACATTAAACATATTTTCACTTGTAACACGCTGTTGAGAGGAAGACACTACTTACATTGACTGGGAGCCAGAGATGGTAAATTACATATTCACAGCTGTGACAGAGCTGTAAATAAATCACCACATTTGGAGGGTGATTTACTAGTTTGTCCATGGGAGGTGCTCTCCCTGGTCGTGCTGCTGGACAGAGTAGGAGTTGGGCTGTTCATACATGCTGTATTATGACATAAAACACTGTGTTTACGTTCACCATTTAATTTAAAGTTCAATCTCGTAACAAAGCATGGCTGAGACATGGAACTTTCTAAAAGTTAGAGATTAACTATCAGTTAATTAAAATTAACTTAGAATTAAACCACAGAAATTTTGTTGACACTGAGGTGAGGAAAGGAGTTACTGCATGACAGCAGAATTAAATTTGCCCTGTTTCTCCTGTTCCCTGCTGATGTTGCGCAGATCAGACAGTATGTGCAGTCTCCCAAGCCATGCACCCTGTGGGATAGGGGTTCCAGATCTCCACACCAAGCCAGAGCAGACATTTTGCTGCTGAGTACCCAGAAGATGCCTGGCTCTGCAGGCACACATGACGCTCTGCCTATTTTTGTGAGAGCAGCTGTGTCCTGGGAGGCAGATTCCTGCCCTCTCTCTCAGGGTGGCAGAGCACAGGCAGGAGATGAGCTGTTGTGCAAAAGGCTGCTTATGGCAGCCTCCATTTCGTACCGGGGAGCCCGAGGTGCCGGTGCTTCTTCCTTGAGGCTAAATTTAGCCCCTTCTGTTTCTGCACATGTCTGAGCAGCAGGATCTTTGTTCTCCCCTTTGGTGCTGCTGACTCTGGTTTCAGAGAGGGGACAAAAATAGTCCTGGCTGGCATGCCAGGCCAAGCATTTTGCACTTGCTATCTCTGAAGTGATCCTGGACTATTTTAGGGGAGGGGACTGCTCCAAAATGCTCCGAGAGCCCTCCTCCTTCTACTCGAATCTCAGCAGCCCTGGGTTCACCCAACGGGCTGTTCTCTACTGTGGTGTATTAAAACACCACAAGCCTCTCTTTTTATTTTTGGGCAGTCACAGGTGGGTGAAATCTCAGACCTGACCCGTTCCACCTCTGTGAAGGGATCCGCTGCCCTTTAGTGGTGTGAGTAGTTCGGAGCTGGGAGCAGCCATGCAGTGCCACCAACCCTATCCACTGCCCCATGCCTGGGATGCAGCCAACTCCAGCAGAGAAAGGGTCATGGCTAGCCTGGTGATCACCATGGGAAATGGGATGGGGGAGTGCCAGGGAACCCACTGTATTCAGAGCTGGGCTGGAGCTGCACCTCTCACCACACAGCCTCTTGTCCTTCTGGGCACCCCGCTTAGGAAAAGGCCATGAGCAAGCAGCTGAGATGGCAACTTTGCATTATCAGCTGGACCTGTTGATTTGCACCTTTGCAAAAGGGAAAAGGTCTGTTCCTTGGCGTTTTCCTGCCCTGGGAGATAAAGCACAGAGGTCTCCGTCTGGCACGCCCTTTGCAGCAAGGTTGAGCTAAACCACCTGCCCCAAGCCTGCCCCTCCTTGCATCCCATGTGTTCACTGAACTGCCATCTCTGCCTGCTACCAGACCCCTCCACCACCTCCTTTCCACCCTCTTTTGCCATCTGCCCTGCCAACATGCACTTGGGGTTAGCAGCAGGAACTGTCTCGGTGGCAGGACTGATCCCGCACAGTGTCGTGTCTGGGCCACTGGCCTCTCTTTGTCCATGTGAGGGCTGGAAACCTTCACCCCTTTTGTGCAGCCTCCAAAGAATTGAAGTCCTGCACGGCCCTGCTGTGTGTGGCTTTGGGTGCTATGCTGTGAACAGCCACGATCCTGTACAAAAGTACTACAGGGCTTCTGTAGACACAGCCTGCTGTGCTGGTGAAAGGGCCCAGCTCTACAGCTGGAGGTGTCTCCAGGTGCCTCCTGGTCCGCATCACAGCAGGACTCAGACCAAGCTGGGAAGGGATTCAGTATATTCTCTTACTTTTCTCTAGGTCCTTGTGCCCCTTCTATCCTTTCCACTGTTCTAATCTCACACCATAGAAATGTGTCTGCACAGCAAGCTGTGAAATAGGTGCTATAACTATACTGAGAGTGACCTCACTTTGCATTTATAGGAAAAGCTTGGATCCCCAAGCAGAAGCCAATGGATCCTGTTTTGGAAAGTGTGACTCTGGAGCCGGAACTGGAGGAAGCCCTTGCTAATGCCTCTGATGCAGAGCTCTGTGACATTGCTGGTAAAATAGTTTCACAATAATTGTGGGTTCAAGTAGTTCAACTACTAGGGTTTTTTTTATTTGTTCATTTGTGGGAAAGGAGCTATTGTATTTTTTGCTTTTTATCTGAATGCTGTCAGTTCAGAGAACTTATTTCTTTGTTAAAAAGAGTTACTCTCAGCCCATGTGATTTAATCAGGAGCATGGACCAAAGCTGAGGAGGGAGAAGGATTTATCAAGGGAACAGTGCGTGCTGTTTGATATCTTCTTCTGTCTCTGCCATTCATTATACTTTCAAGAGCAATGCTTTCTTGAAATCAAACCTTAGGAAACAGTCAAGCTGATGCAGCAAGAATGTGGATTTCTTGTGGGACCTATTAAAGGAACTGTCAGGTTAGAGAAGTCTTTTGCTGGACACTCAGGACTGCTATTTGTTAAAGAGCTTTTTCAACACATTTTTAAAGCTATGCATTTCTCGTGATTTGTGCAGTCAGTCAGTCAAATGACAGTATTTGTCTCTTGCTGAAGCCCATAGCATGGACTTAGCTCTGTGACTGGGATAGGACATGCCTCAGCCAAAAGAGCATATGGACACCCCATGGTGTTTTACGGAGCTCACATGTGCCCTGCTGCTCTAGCAGTCAATGAACATTTCAAGGATACTGGCTTCTTTCTTCTACTTTTGTCTCTGATTTCAGACTTCCATACTCCCTAGAAGTATCCTCCTTTCCAGAAGTCCGTAAGAAAGTCTGTAGAATAAGTACACCAACTAGACGTCTTGTACATCACAATACCATATTTCGGCTTAGAAATGTGTTTCTGCGTTAAGATTTCCAACATATGCACCCTGGCTACAAGTATTGCATCTCTGGACTTTGCTTTTTTACTATTATCTAGAGTCCCATAAAGCCTTATCTTATAAAATCCACTGTCCTCCGTGTCTGTGCAGCAATTAGTTTTCCAAGGAAATGCTGTTCAGGGCAGCTTGTTCTGCAATTGCTGCCACTTGAAGTGACAGCAGAAGTACTGATGTGATACAAGCTGTCCTGAAATCTCAATATTGACAGTGACAGCCTTGCTCCTGCCTGTTTAGCAGGGCTCATTTAGCAGGAGCTCATTTTGCTCCTGCCTGTTTAGCAGGGATCATCGCCAGCTGTGATGTATTGGATCCCTTCCTTGGCAAGGCCAGGAGAGTGGCTCCCAAGTGGTCCTGGAAGGGCTCCCTTGCCTTTGGTCAGCTGAGAGAGACAGAAATGGGATGCCTTCATTCTGCTTGAGTTTCTTTGGAGAATACACAGTAGGCAGTAGACTTTGAAACAGCAGATCCCTTTTGTCTACCAGCAGAAACTCTAAATCTCAAAGCCTCTGAGTGGTCATAACAGCAGATCTTGCCTCTCTCTACAGTCCAGATACTCCTGCTCCTGGCCGATGGAGAGATTTTATTGCTCAGATAAGCTGTGTTTTGGGGGGTGTGCGTGTCTCCAAGATGCTGAGCCTGTGTACTAATTTAAAGGTAAACCAGCAGGGGAAATGAACTCAACTCAAAAGAGAAATTATAAGTCAGAATAACAATTTAATAAAATAACACAGTAAGTACAATTATACAGACAAACAATTGGTTTTAACCCACAAAACCCAAATGTATAACCCAGCACCCTGGGGCATGAACAGAGTGGCGTTCTTTGGGCCCCCTGAGTCCAAAGTAAAAGGAGAGGGGAAAACCTGTTGGTGAGAGTGCTGTTGCAGGTTGCACCAGGTTGTACCAGGTTGAAAACTGGTGGTTGCAGTCCAGTCGAGAGCGGTGGTCTGCAGTCTTCCTCTGGATCCCACGAGTGGTTAAAAAAGTTCCAAGACTCCAAGATTATATATTCTCCAGTTCAGGCAGGAATGCCCATTACTTTCCTCAGGGCAGGGAATTTCACAAAGGGTGTGAGGAACAGGGAGGCACCCTCCTATCTCGCAGGCCTCTTAACACCTAGTTTATAGCCTGAGGAGTCAGGCTGCTCTGGGCAGAGGGTGTAAATAGTCTATTGAAAACAGTTTCTGGGAAATGGCATGGAAGGCTATAGAATACACAGTTTTGGGTTACACCCATCCAGTT